GTTCAAGAACCCATACATAAGTCTTCTCCTTTTCATTAGATACAATAACACACTCAAATACACACGTCTGTTTATGATGATTGACACCAAAAAAACCTATAACAGGACATTTGTACTTATTCCCCCCATTAAGAGTATCGAAAGCAACAACATCTTCAAATATGTCATAATCAATTTGACTCATACCATCACACTAAAAAATATGCAACAACCTCCCATTAGAATCAACCTTATGACCCCAATATAACTTGAGATCCTTAAAGTGCAAGCCTATTAAGAATTTTTCTGCCTTTTTTACATCCCTATCTTGTCTTCTTCTATCTCATTCAATTTAATTGCATATATCTTTTTTGAAAAACCCAACCATGTCATAACTTTCTCTTTGGTTAACAAATGTTATATATTTTGCAGGTTGCAATATCACTCTTTCTCATTCTCCGTATTTGTTCAACATCACGATCATTCATTTTGCAATGTGACCTTAATATTCTATAATAATTCTCATTAACTAAACTAAATTCTCATCAACTCAAAAATTCCATTTTCTTAATTTCACTGCTACATAAGTCAAACAAATTGATGTATCTATCATTGTGCATATCGATTTCATCTGAACTTGCCATTTCCTTATCAACATTGCATTCCTCAATAACAACTTGTAACAAATATAAATAATACACATGTTACTTGCTGAAATCGAATATAACAATTATGGTCATTCACTTAAATACACAAAGCCTACACAAACCTCTTTGTTTCTATCCTCATTTTTAGGCAAATCTATAACACCCAGTATTTTTAAGTATTAATTAAAGAATTATTTGATATTAAGTGTAATTGGAATGAGTTTGAATTAAATTCTAAGTGTTTGATGAAGGTGAAGTACATGAATTCTCGCTCAAGCAAGACAATCCTTGCTCAAGCGAGAAGGATGAATCTCAAACCTTCACTTTCAGAGGCCTTTCGCTTAAGTAAGAGATTCTCCCTCAAGCAAGAGCAATATCGGCAAATCTCACTCAAGCAAGATTTATGGTGGTTTGCGAAGTGAGCTCTATATAAAGGGGTTTCCGTGTATGAAAATTTTTATTTCCTAACTTCTCTTGAGCACTCAAGAGATCCAAACCCTTAGATTTTCATTTTCTCTCATATTAAACCCCTCTAAACTTAGATTTCTCTCCAGATTTGGGATCGTACGTTCATTCTAAGTGATTCAAAGTAAGTTTATCTAAGTTTGAATCTAGATTTATCGTTTATTTCTCTTCATCTCAAATTTCTTATAGATACCTTATGATTTTTAGGATAAACTTTGATTTTAGAGCAAAATCTTTGGTTAAATCTTTGAGAAATCCTTAACTTAAGGTAAGGAAGGCTCTACTTTATCATTTTGTTATGAATATTACTTCTGTTCTTATAGATCTTATTATATATATGATTATAAGTGGAATAATCCTTATTTTGTGAAAAATAATAAGTAAAAAGTAAGAATAATTGATTGTTTATGTGATTTTATGATGAATATATGAAAATGTATGGTGAAAATATGTTATTATGCCTAAATAGTGTATGATAAGGTATATTGAGGATGGTTGATATGATGTCATGATTTTGTAATATGAAATGTTCAAAGAAAAAGATGTTTCATGTTTGAATATGCCATGATTTGATGTATATGATAAAAAGTATGTGGAAATATAATAAAAAATATGCGTGAACATGAACATGTGAATATATTCGAAAGAGTATGGGATAGAAATGAATATGATGTAAATAGTTACAGAAATAGACGGAGAGTGTAGAAGGTGGAGACGATATGAATATCTTGGAGAAATGAATGGTGGTGAGTGACATTTAGGGTTGTGCACAGAATATTGTTGATGAATGCGCCACATGGCCGCACACTCGTTTCCCGACTTGACTCCTGACCATTACCTTTGCTAAGAAGTTGTCTATTGCATGTGTTATATTCGTATTGCATTGGGCCATCGACTATTTACATAGATGTGTAAAACCTCGGGTTAGAAGCATCAGATAGTTGTGACCATAGTGTAATATAATATGTGTTTATGTGTTAAGACGAGAACTTGCTTTACATGACATTCAGGTATGTAATAACATGATATTTTCTTTATTTGTGATAAAATTTTGGGTTATGATGAATATGTGTTATGTATGAGTGGTAGGGTAGAGACTCACCCTTACACAACATTTTCAAGAAACCAGGACGAGTAATACTAAGCTCACAATGCATGGATGGATGAGAATTGCTATATGACTTAGTTATTTTGAGTTATGTAATGAATACTTTTAGTTCTTTAACATTCTTTTGAAACAATTATAAAACTACTATTTTCTTTGTTGCAGATGAAACTTTAGAATCTTTGTTTTCTAAAGTACTTATGAATCAATGAATTTTTACTGTATGAATCATATATCATTTCGTTACTTCTTTCTCATTAGAGAGCTTATGAAAGAAATTTATTTTATCATTTAAATTTTCATGAAAATTTTCATATATTAAAAAAGAAAATATGGGCGTTACAAAGTCCATGTTCAATTTTCTCTTATAATGGGTATTTTTTGCTTTCCCCAATTCCTTTATCGTCTTATTCTTCTTCCCCATGGCACTATAAATTCGTGTTAGCCTTCGTCTTTGACTAAGTATTTCATCTCTTCTTCGCAAAAACCCTTCCACTATGCTTTCTTTCTGACCAAGGCTTCGTTTCTAATTAAGTCACTTTCTTCCCATTCTCATAGATCTCATACACTAAAATTCTACTCTACACTTGACCATAATACCCTTTTAGAAGACAAAATGTCAATTTTATGCTATTATCCTTTTTCATCTGCCTTACTTATAACTCCTTGTACCAATTATTAACCTTTTCAACCTTTGATCTTAGCCATCTATTTTGTAACTACTCCAATGAACGACTCACCCTTAATTGTGAATTGTCTATGAGAAAGCAATGATTTCAATCAACAACACTTATTATAAAAGAAAGGAGGATATTAGAATTAGCCACATGTGATAGCGTATGCAATTCTCTTTCTTTTAAGCAAGCTTGGCCATGACACTTAGGGGCAAAACATTATGCATTTGAAGTCATACTTTTGTGCAGGACAATTTTGGTTGTCCATTATTCCTAACTTATTTTTGTTTCCTTTTCTCTTGCTTGTCTTGACTCAATTCTTTGGAGTATTCTATGTATAATTGAGTCCAATTTTTGCCCAGTTCCTTGAGCTTAAAGTTAATGCAAATTTTAATCACATTCTAGCTCATATATCATGTGTACTAGTTTTCTTGTCAATTCTCTTATGGGTATTGGTCATAGTTATTGGCTATATTAAATAATCCTAGATTAAGTTTAATTAACTTCATTACCCTAACTTTTCATGATTTATTTTTATTCTTTATTTTATTTATTAATCTAAACTTCACTACCCTATACTTAATTCTTATTGAATATAAATTTTCTTAAACTTGAGTACTAAAATTTTACCATTTCTCCTTGGCTAAGTTCTAAGGTAACCTTTTACTATTAATTTAATAAATTACTAATCTAAGGCTACTTTTCTAATCTTATTTAATGTTATCATAATCTTACTAATATAGCATAATTATGGATTAAAGAAATTAATAATGTTATATTCATTACCACAATTAACATTATCATTGATTATCATCATCATCATTATTGATATCACATTTAATATTATCCCTTAGCCCCTATAATAACCAACTATCATAATTTTTAATATCATCATCTTTATCAACGTCATTAACACTATCATTGACTATCCTCACCACAACCACAATTACACTACTACTAATATCATCTTTTTTATTGTTATAACTAATTACCACCATTAATTATTATCATAATACAAGCATATAAATGAAATAGAAATTTGTTTGTATTAAAAATTAGTAAATAATAAAAATAATAATCATTTTACCTTAATCTTAAACTACTAATAGAATCGTAGATTTTGAAAATTAATACTATAAAATGTGATAATAATATTTATACAACCTTAGAATGTTTAGCTAAGTTAGTTCCTAAAAATGTTACTTCTATAAAAAAAAAAGTTAGTTAAATTTATGAATCTAACAAAAAAAAATTGTATTTATATAATATTTTTTATTGTTACTATTTTTAAATTAAATTAAATTATTTTTCTCTATAATTTATTCATGTTTTGTTTTAATGAAATGGTTAAATATGAATGTTTTTCTTTATGCGATTAACTTTAAAAAATAAAATTTATTTCTATTAACTTTTATAAAAAAAAATTAAATACAACCTTTAACTTAAAAATAAAGAGTTAGTGAAAATGTAGCTAAATACATAGCCAATGTTCAAGTTAATTAACTATTATTGTACACATAGAGGTAATATGAATATTATTTTAATTATACTTTTATGTGTAATATTTTATTATTCTAAATAAATATATTTTAACAAGTTATATATATATATATATATATATATATATTATTCTGTTGTGAATTATATAATTTTGAAATAATTAATTACATCATGCATAAGTGAGAATGTGTTAATATCAAAATAGCATAATTAAAATTTTATTACATTGAGATATAAAGTCTAAATGTAAAAAGATATTAAATATGTTTTTCTTATTTTGTACTAACATGACATTAAACCTAGAAAAAAATCTTACTTCAAGAGTAAATAATAAATTGTATTTTTAATTTTTTAGATAAATAAATAACTAATAAAAAATTAATTTTTTATTTTACCATTCAAGATTTTATTAAAAAATCTTACATGCACATGATTTAGTAAAAAACATCATTTATATGAAAAAGAAAAATATAAGCGAAACACAAGGGATAAGACAGGCAAGCAAGCCATATTAAAATACACGTGTCAAATAGTATTAGACCCGATTCCTTTTTTTGGTATGAAAATGAAAGAAAAAAAGGAGAAAAAACTCCCGAATAAACGGAGACTGGGGGAAGCTGCGTTGTAGTTGTTGAGGCGGGAAAAAACGGAGCATATTAAAATTTGGCTCTCGTGGTGCCTCGGCCTATCGGTGCAGTGGTAGAAACCCTAGCTGGCGTAGCAAGAGTGTTCCGAAATGCCTCCAAAGAAGAAGAAACCCAATCCACAACCTTCCAAGTTTGGCATTCAGCACTTCTTCGATCGCGCCTCCCAGAAGCAGTCGCAACCCCCTCCCACCAATGCAGTGCCTAACGCCGCCGAAGACCCCACTCCGGACACGGCCCCTAAGCGCTTCAAATTCTCGCCTGGCATGGTAACGTGTTTCGCTCTAAGCGCATTGTGCTTTTCTTTTCTTCTTCTGATGAAACTAACTACCTTTATTTTGAGGATAATAGTTGGTCAAGCAGAGCCAAGATGACGGGGTTGACGAGGTTACTTGGAAGATTTCCCCGGTTAACGAAAGGCTTCAAGCAGTTTCAAAACACGCGCCTGAAATAATTAAAGCTTTAGCTGATTCTTCCAAAATGAACTTGTCGCCGATTCGCAACTGCTCCGAAGACCAGGCAAGTTTACGAGAGCATTTTTCTTTATAAATTGGGTACTTATTGGTGTCAATGAATGAATGAGATTGTGGCGTCCATGGTGCAGACTTCTCAGGATAAAGACGGAAAACTTCCTTCACTCACTCCCAAAGCAAAAGCTCTGTTGCCAATGAGTAAATTGGGCCAGAAAAGGATAAATCTGGACCGAGACGTGGATAATAACGTGAGCGTGGGTAACTCTGGAGGACAGAGTCCCTTCAGAACTCCGCCATCTTTGTCTTGTTGCCCTGATAAGGTGATTTATCTTCTTTTGATGATTTGTTTTGTAGATTTGAAGATAATTTGGAATTTAAATGTTCCTTTTCCTTGCTTAACTTGATTTCCTAATTTTCATTTGTTTTATCAAATGGCTAATTTGAGTTTCTTCTTTGTTATTCGTAGGTGCAGCTTGCCAAGGGAATTCAACACCATGGACCGTGTGACCAGCCTTTTTTAAGACAGCACAAAAAGGTTTCAGAACTACAAGAAATCCACTATAATTAGTACCACATCTAATGGTTGAAATGCGCTACACCTTAAGGCACAACAACATAAACATTCTGTTTCGTATTCCTTTGGTAAAGTAGATATGAAAGAAACATTTTGACTGAGATAACTTTGAAATAGAAATCAACATGATTTAGCATGAGTGAAACTTAATTCCAAAGGATGGCATCTCTAACCATAAGGCATGATTAAAACTGTGCTTAAAGAGGAATAACTGTGACGGATCCAGAATTTTTTTTGTTGTGGAGGCAATCATTTAATAAAATAAAAAGTGGCTGAAGTGTGTTTCTTTGACAGTGAAGTGGGGGCAATTAAAATATAATAGAGGGGGCAATTAAAATATAATAATGTATATATTAGTAAAAGAAAGTCAGAACATAGATACTAGTGCATCTGTCCCTGACTGGAACCTAAACTTATGGAAAGCCAGAATCAATTGCTTCAGCACATGTTGATGCATTGTGATACATAAACTTTTGATATTTCAAACCCTGTGCTGCTAAAGTTGTGCAAAATACTACTCTTTTAATCATCATACAATGAAAACTAGTTTAATAAAATTTGTTTTGCTTACTTCCATGAAATGGATCCCTCTGAAGTATGAAACATTGTTACACTTATTTTATTTTGTGTGTTTCGTGAAGGAAACTTGTGACCTATTACCTGTCATTCTGTAAGATGCTTACACTTCAGTACTTTCACTATCAATGGAAGCCACGCATTAATATGAATAATTACTTCTATAGGCATTGCTTGAACTGTTAGATCAAGTTGAAGATGCCATTGCTGTTGATGATGATGCTACAGTGTGCACTAACCATACTTATTTGTACAAATCTCAAGATCTAATTGCTAATGAGCTCCCTGTCAAAGCCAATCCTGTAATAGAAAGGACAAAATCACATTTATGTAGAGGGGCCATTAGTGTTTTCTCCAGTTGTAATTATTTGGTTTTGGAGGTATGCTTTTGGAACTAAGTTCTGTTTAATATGTTCTTTGGTTTGTAAAATCTGAATTCTTGTGGGCTTACCACTATTGACATTCTGAATTAGGTATCTGAAAAACAAATGCCTGATGATTCATCCGCTGCTCAATGCCCATACAAGGTCTTGCTTGTTTCATTGCTACAGTTAGTTCTTTGAAGAATCTGAGAAATGATATGGTTTATCAAATGCTTTCCAGGTGCTTCGTTTGCTAAATGAACAAACTGGAGAAGAGTGGGCTGTAAACTTAAAGGATGAATGGTAAGCTAGTGTGCTCTAAAGTACATGAGCTAATATTGATGTGTCTATCCTATATTTGTGGCATTTCAATTTAATATATTCGGAGTAGCTAGATGTTTGTGATAGGTCTTCATCACATGAGGAATATGGGATTGGCCTAATAGCAAAGGCCTGCAGGTTTATGGAAGGAAAAAAGAGAATAGCATAGATGAGAAGCGGGTTGAAAATTCTGTTGGTAGTGAGAGAGAAAATGATAACCAAATGAGGACAGGTGGCACGTATGGAGTGAGCAAAGGGGATTCAGGAGATCATTTTGGTGTCAGATTCTTCTCGATTTTGGATTCTAGGTGTCAGTCTCATTTTGGTTTTGTCTTCTCGATGTCTGGTTTTTCAGAGGTCTAGCTAATTCACTAATATAACCTAACTAACTAACTAATTCACTAGTATTGTTTATAGGAAACATGCCATATTCAAACTAATTCACCTAACTAACTAACTAACCCACTAATCTAACTAACTAATGGATAACTAAGTAATCTATTTAAACAAACTACTAATGGGGGTTACCTAACATATGTCTTCAGAATGTAATGTGTGGTTATTGGCGGAGGCAGTCACATATTTAAAATAAAATGTGCAAGTTCTGTGTGAAAGACAGTTATGATAATATTTATCTTCTCTTGGACAGAGATCATGCTCTGTAGGAGTTTCTATAACTCTGGGGCAGCAACATTAATTGCTATTTTTCTGTGTTTAATTGCATTTCCTATCAATTAATTAGCAGTGTTCTATCAGATGTATTCTGAACTTCAAAATTCTGCACATTGCTTCGAAGTGAGGCCAGTTGTTTTAAAATAACAAGTATGTTGAATATTTTGATATTTTAGTTGAGTTATGGCTAGGAATATATTTCTTCCATTCTGTTTCTTCGAAATGTTTTAAGGATAAGTTATTATATGACAAACAGCTGAAAAAGGAGAAAACATTTGATTTCCTTAAGAGCCTTACAAAGAATTAGACAAAGTGTGATGTCTTATTCTTGGCCTTAAGCCACTGCCCACCACTCAAAGAAGCCTTTGCCATGGTTAGATGAAGAAATTCAGAGGAAAATGATGTTGGAGATTAGTCCCATAGCTGACAACTTCATCTAAGCTTGGGTCTTGTCTCTTGTAGGAATGACCCAAAGATTTTGCATCCTAAAGAGGCAAAAACTTGGTGTGACCACTGCTACAAACTATATCACATCAAGGACACATGTTATCTTATTCATGGAAAACCTACATATTTAAAACCTTGGAGTTAACACAACTCTGTTGCCTCTGCTCATGTTACTGAATCTCCTGTTAAATAAATAAAGAAGTTAGTTTTTTGTGCCTTTTTCTGATGAGCAGTTATATGTTGGTCATAACTCAAGTCCTACACAAGGAAAACTTGATCCAAAATAGCATAACTGCATATTCCTTGGTTATTCTCCTACACAAAAAGGGGAATATGGTACTGCCCCAAATCCAAACAATTCTATGCATTCTATGATGCTACCTTTCTTGAACTACCTTTCTATTCCCATAGTTCATTTACAGGGGATTATGGTTGAAACTCATCATTGGAATTCCTCCATCTCTCTTCTAATATCACTTCCTTAACCAAATCCAATACAAAATTAATCCACTAAATTTTATAACCAGTCCAAACTGGAATCCGTTCCTCTGCAAAGTCAGACCTGGGACCAAATCAAGTAGAAAATACTGAAGGTAATTGTACACTTGAACTCAGTATATTTGATGATATAATTGATGAGATTGACCTGCTTTTTGTCTTAAGGAAAGGAGTTAGGTCTTGTACAAAGCATCCCATTTCAAATTACCTCACATATTCTTTCCTGCCTCCAAGACTATGGCTTTTACAGCAGACTTGGATCAGTTGCAGAATATGAACACTATTTTTGAAGCTCGAAAAAAATGAAAATTGGAGAGCCGTTGATGTCAGCCAATATTAAAGAAGCAGAAATTGAAAATGACCATTTTCTATACACTATGTTACATGAAGTGGATATTGATGAAGACCATCTTGAAGTCAGACTGAGTCAAATGTCAACAATGTCAGCCAATGTTTTGTCAAAAGTTGATTATGGGATACCTTAAATGCATTTGTAAAGCTGATATTATATCTTGAAAATAGGAAGCTAAAGCTCTTTAGCGTGAAAAGGAGTGTTGGAATATTTTATAATATGAATCTTTAGAGTATCCGGAAGTGGTTAACAGCAGCGCTATTTCACTGCAATACAGAGTGGAGTGGCCATCATGGGGTGTTTTTGTCGCCGTGGCCAAATTGTGGCCCTATTGTGCACAATAGTGGTTGATGAAGAAGGGTGTCAAAAGCCTAAGTTTGCCACTGTTAAGATATAAGGTTCCACATTTTTGGGTTAGCAACATGTCAAAAGATATATAAGTAAGAGAACCTCAACTCTAAATTTTCTTAAGGTATTTTAGACAAGAAGGCCACTCAAGCTTTAGCCCATTTACTTTCCTCCCTCACTATTGGATTCTGCCCACATTCTAAAATCCTAATATGGTATTAGATCCTGGATGCAAAATAAAAATGAATGCCCCAAAAAAAAGGATAAAAAAAAATAAAATTAGACCTGTGACATTAAAAAAATTCAAGAAAAAAGGACCACAAACCCAAACAATAAAAGAAAAGAACTGAGGTAAGAGGTCCAAAAACTTGATGTTACAAGCTCAAGCTAAAGAAAAAAAAAAATACAAGTCTCAAAGCTAGTTGGACTTGAGGGGGAGTGTTACAATATAAAATTCTACATTCGTGGGTTAGCATCATATCAAATGATATATATAAGTAAGAGGGCCTCAACTCTAAGATTTTCTAAGGCATTTTAGACAACAAGGCCACTCAATTTTTAGCCCATTTACTTTCCTCTCCTCCCAATAAAAGAGGCATGCTCTCTTTAAATAAGTAGAAGGGATTGAGGAGGGTGGTCATGTCAATTGTTAGAGAGTTAGAGCCTTTTTGGCTTGGGAGGAGCAGTCCCTTGAAAAACTGCAGTGTGCTCTTCTTGTAATTATGGTTCATTCCTAATTTTTCTTAATAAGATACCCAGTTTCTATCAGACTAATTCCTCCATGCTCTGATATTAATTATGAAATAGTAGCTGTCATAATGATTGTGATGGGCTGTACCTGGCATCATTTATATATAAATGTCAATACCATAGAATTAAGGCTCTAGATGCTTATGTGATTCATTCCATTTGACTGTAATTGGGTTTTCTCCATCCATCCTTTGCTTCTCCAGCTTTACTGTTATTTTTTCAAGTTGTAATAATCAAGCACCCTTAACTAAATTCTTGCACACAAATCTTGAAATTTTTTGAGTTTTTTGTATTATCTTTCCTGTCAGTTATTCTATTTCTCATCATCACATTTCTATCATTTCTAATTCCTTCTCTAAATTATCCCAGGTCTTACAGTGTAATTGCTCCTGGAGATACTGTAAACATAATTGGTCAATTTGGTGAAGGGGGACATTGTGATGTTGATCATGATAATAATTTTTTGATTGTACACCCAGATATTCTGTTGCCTGGAACACGGGTAGTTATCTTTTTACTCTCTCAACCATATTATGTATTTCCATCTGTGACTTATAGAAAATGTAATTTAGTTGATTTATCAAAATTTTATTTATGAAACATTGATTTCTACACTCTAATTATCCAACAATATTGTGGACCTGCTGAGAATTGTAATGAACTTCTATATTTGTAATTAACCACTGATGTTCATGACTGAGTGTTTACTTTGCATGTCATTGATTCACTGGGTGTTAAGAAATGTTAAAAGGTGTATTTATTTCTACTCTTTCTAACAGAGGAACAGCGCAGTTGTTGTTTCTGCATTTTTATGCATGCTTAATGAGAGTGAAGGATGTGTAATGTATCGTTGCCTCATTTTCCTCTTTGTAATCTCTTTTCTCATCTATCAATAACTTATTGAATGGAAAGAAGAAAATAATGTAATGTTATAAGTAAAATTGAAGATAGTACATAGATAAAAGGGAATTGTGGTAAAAATTGTTTATATTTAACTTAAATGCCTGAAAATGATGTTCTTTAAATATTTTTTTCTTACACATCAATGCTTTAAAATTGGTAGTTGAAATAGATATGTAATGTGCAATTTGTGTAGTCTTGTAGAATTTGATCAATTTATTTTCTAGTTCAATTTAGAAAATTTGATCCTCATTTGGCATTTATGGCTCTGAAGTGTAAGGCACTAGACTCTTTTCAGGTTGGATTGTCTGTGGTGAATGCCCTTGTATGCTGTTTAATGTATTCTGTGATATATGATTAGGTGTGCATATGTATGTTTATTTCTAATACAAAGGTTTATGACAGGTTGCTGCAAGTTTTAGTTGCCAAAGGAGAGCTGTCTTAGATGAGAGGATAAAACACAATGAAAACTCGATTGCCGCATTAACTGGAACCTTGCTTCACCAAATTTTTCAGGTCTCTAAAATTCATCCTCTACCCTGTAGGACAGTATATAATATATAAATCTTATTCTGATGAATCAGAAATTGAGCTTCTGTTTTTATTAAATATTTTATTGTTCATTTTATTATTCTTGGGGTGTGGTTTGGTTTGTTGGTGCAGGCTGGGCTTACAAAAGAATGTCCTACAGTAAATTTCATGCAAGATTATGCAGAAGTGGTGTTACAGAGAAACACTGAAAGTTTGTATGCGTGTGGAGGTGTGGTATTCTGTCTGTACATGTATGACTTTTTTTATATGTACACATGTCTCAATTAAAGTTTGGAACTTAATCAACTGGAAGTTTGCTCGGATGCAACTTATTGAGTGTTGACTCTGGACCATTTCCTCCAAGAGCATTATTAATTTCTTCTGCATATGTACATTGCAGTAAATGAAAATGATGTTCGCAAAACTTTGAGTGAGGATATCCCTAGAATATTAAGTTGGATCATGCAGTTCAAAAATATGAAGGTGCGTCAAAATATTTTATGCCTATTTCTGAAACATTATTTATAAAAGCCCTTTGTAATAGAAATTATTCTGATAAGAACCTTGCAAGAACCATACCACAGAAGCTAGTTGTTGTAGTTGGAATGACCAAGGCCTTTTAAACCCCACTCTATTCCCATACTTCCAATGTAGGACTCAAGTCCATACCTTGCAATTGAATCATTTCAGATTCCTCTACTGTTGCCAAATGAAACTTACAATTTGAGTGGCATATGGTCTATTTGTACCTTCGCTATAATATGTATTTCAGATTTGTCAACTTGTAGCCATCTCAGTGGGTATAGCATTTAGATATCATTTAAATCATCTTAGGTACCATGCTAATTATATTTGTGGTGTTCCATGCTTGGGAAAGAATATTGATGCTATTGTCTGAATGAAAGTGGGTAGAAGGGAAGTTGAGGCTGTATTGATTCTAGCTTTGATAGGATCTGATCCCTATCTAACTAAAGTGGAATATATTATTGTTTGAAGAAAGGTGAAATATAGTTCAAAAAGAATTAATTGTGCTAAAAGAATCAGACGTTAGAGTATATCGAACCTTGCACCTACTGCTTTAATACTTCTATTTTTTCCCAAGACTAAGCTTTTCCATGTGATCCTGAGATCTAATGATCATTCAAAAAAGTTAAGCAAGCACTAGAACAATTAGGAGTTTCATGCTGAAATATAATTGTTCCCTGAAAACCTTTGTAAATCCATAAAGAATATTTATAAGTTCTATCTGTTGGGCAAAATTTTAATTTGGTTCAGTGGCTGCTAGTGATTCAATTTCTACTCGATACTTTTCTGCACACTCCTCATTACTAACTTCCTCCAATAAACTATGGAATGATGCTGAATCATGGACATAGTCAGGACCTCTATGTGGTTTCCCTACATCACATAAGCATCTATACTGAGGTCAACATCCCCCAATTGAATGTTAAGATTGGAGCATTTATCTCTGGTTGAAACCCTATGACTGTTGCCCAACTGAATGCCCAGTTCACAAGTAGTTTACAAGAGTCTCAAGTGCAGCAGGTACATTGGGAAAAATGAAATTATGTGATGCCCACAGCCCGTCATCACTAATATTGTGATCCCATTCAATTTTCTTTCCATTCTCATAGTCTGCACCTCATCTAACCTGCCACGGGTAAGCCCACACAGACCAATAAGTCTACATTCAAAGCTTCCTCTTCTTCAATTGTGTCTACCTCAATGGCCACAATCTAAACTTCCTCATTCACCAACTTTGTCTGGCAATCGTAATTGCTTTTCAGGGCACTAATGTAACTGTTGAAACTTCTCTCCACAACAAAAACATATGTGCTTAGATTTATGATCCACTAGTTCTCAATAAATCAAATGCTTGAGCCCCCTATTGCAGTTGGTATTTGCTTTCCTTTCTTTTTTCAAGTTACTCCTAGATGAAACTAGGAGACGCATTACCTTGTACTTGCACATGGCCTGCATTTTGGGAGTGCTAAGCTGACTCTCTATCAGTCAGTTTAGCATTATTCTAATTTAAGATTTATTCATTTAAAAATTTAATTTATTTAATATAATATTATATTATAATTTTTATATAAATTATTTAAAACTTAAATTATTAATTTTATAAATCTTAAATAGGTATTCTAATAGGTTTTTTAAAGTTCAAGCCTAATGTATTCAATTAATTAAGCCTTTTAAAAAGCTTAAATTAAGCCTATTACTTAAATAGGCTAAATTAGGCTAGACTTTAAAAAAGTTAGGCTGTAGGCTCTTGTTAGACAGCTTGACCCATTTCCATCCCTATTTACCCTAAACGAGAGTCTGAGCTCCTAAGAAAAAAATGTTTTCCCTCTCCAAAACACTGCAAAATGCATAATTTACACCTTCCATCTATATTTCTACTTTGCTTTCGTAATCAGCAGGCCAACTCAACATTCTCCCTCCTTGTTTTTTTTTTCTTACAATAAACTTTCCAAATCCTGGGCCTTTCAGAATTCAGGCCCAAATTCTGGTCCTGCACTTTATCATGGTCCTATGTAGTTTTGGATGGATGAGCTTTTATGTAGTTACCTAAATTCTCAGCAATAAGATGTGTAGCTGTTGTTTCCAAAGTACAATATGCTTCTCATTTTTATATTACTGGTTAGATTGGCTCATATTTTATTTCCATTGAAATATTTAATTGACAATGCGTTTTCATCTATTAATATTGTGACTGATACTTGGTGTTTATACAGGAAAAAAATGATCCTAGTGTCAATTTTGGATTTGCAGATGGGCTGAAGAATCTTTGCATATCAGAGGCAAGCTTTAGTCTGTTCTGTTATGTTTCACTAACTGATCTTGTACATATTATTATGGAAACATAGATATGTATTTTGTAGAAGTATATTTTAATAACTGAACAAGTGGAGGGAACACTTAAGCCTATATTGTTTAATTGTGCACAAATATGCATCTGCTTTTACAATTTGACAGTGTTGTTAAATGGCGGCCATGGCGGAATTCAGTGGCAGTTTTTGACCCCGCCGTTAAAGCATTACCGTTTTCTGGCGTTTTTCAATGGCGGCGCCATGGCGGCCATTACGCGCATGTCGGTAATGGCAGCCATGGCGGAAAATGTAAAAAAATGGTGTTTTTGTGGGAAAAATTGTGTTGGGCCATTGATTGGACCTGCTCCAAAAAGATAATCCGTGAGCCCAAACCCTAAATCACATATTTTCTTCCTTTCTTCATTGCTGTTGTGCCGCTGTGGAGTGTCGGTGGGCTATTGTGCTGCGCTGTGGAGCGGCGGTCCGCCACTGCTGCTGCTGTGAAGTATTTCTTCGCAGGGGTTAAGCCCTAGTTGTAGTGTCTTGGTGTGGGTGTTGAAGTGTAATAGAGAAAGAGAGCGAAATTCCAATCTTGCCCTTGTTTTATGTATTTTAGGGTTTTTTAAAGGCAAAATAGATAGTGAAATTCCAATCTTGCCCTTGCTTTATGTATTTTAGGGTTTTTTAAGGACAAAATAGACTTTTTCCACTTAAAATTTTTACCTTCTCTTCTCAAGCGGTAAATTTTCTGAAGGATTCTACACTATTTTTCTTCCTTCTTCTCTAAAGCCAATTTCTCCTTCACCATTTTTGCCGGTGAAGACATCCTTTCCGGCTGTTTTCTGGCAACTGTGAGTGGAAGACCCTGTTTTCCGACGTCCATTTTCTATTTTGTGTCTCTGGGCTCTGCCCCTCTTTCTTAGTTTTTTCCTCTCCTATTTTTTTTTTTCAGTTCTGTTTTTCCCTCTCCCATTCTGTTTTACTCTCCCATTTTTTTCGTTTTTCCTTATTATTTTGTTTTCTTGATTCCATTTTTCTGTTTTCACTTCCAAGTTTCCTTCTCCATATTTATTTTAATTCTCTACTTTCCTTTTATAACTTCAGTTTTTTTTCACTATTGTACAACCATTTTATTCTTTTTTTCTCAAAACCTTTTTATATGTAGTTAGTTTTCTAGTTTTATATCACATTTTGCAATATATATATATATGACCGCCATTATTCTGCCATCCGCCATAATTTTATGGCAGTTTTTTTTGTTTTCCACCATGACCCACCATCCGCCATTGATAACATTGCAATTTGGTTATTGTTGTGCCTTTTCTTTCTTGTATTGCATATGATTTTATTTCTTGTCTAATTGCTTGTGTTTTATTTGAGCAGCCTTTGCTAGTGTGAGTGTTGATATGTATTGCACATGTATTTTCCAAGACATACTCATATGTGCGTGTCATTGTTCTTGATGTTGTACATTTCCCATAAAATGAATATTATATATACTTTTAGAGGCATATGTGATTAGTGCAGGTGATTGATATTGAAGAGATGGCATGGGCTCCAAAGTATGGTTTGAAAGGGATGATTGATGCTTCAGTCAAAGTGAAATTTCAGTCGCAAAAAGATGAGCCAGAGGAGAAGATCATGCCACTAGAGTTCAAAACTGGAAAAACACCAAATAGCCAGGCAGGTTCTGGTCCTCACTTCTATTCCACCATAAAAAAGTGAGATCAAATATATATACTCCAATGAACATGTTTAAAACACCAGTAAGATTATATTAATGTTAATTGTTGGCGATATTCTTCACTTATGACTCTTGCATGTCTTATCTGCAGTCATCAGTGGAACATGATGCCCAAGTAATTTTGTACACTCTCCTGATGTCTGAAAGGTGCAAACTATTCATTTCTAACTGTATATAGAAGAAATTTTCTAAAATTATTTTATTTATTTTGTTTGATTGTGTTAATAGGTACCAGAAGACTATTGAGTCTGGTCTTCTGTATTATCTCCAATCTGATCAGACACGGGTAAGATTTGTTGCTTTAAATTATCAGTTACTTTCTTTTATGAAAGGTAATATTGTTTTATTTGTTATGGACAAAGGGCATTGTGGTTCAAAGATCTGACTTAATTGGGCTAATAATGCGACGTAATGAACTAGCCAGTGATATTCTTAGGGCATTAACTTTGCAACAACTGTCTCCAATGTTACAGGTATAGGCTTTTCCATGATTTACTTTAACAACTTTTTCAGATTGCTCTTACAAGCCTTCGTTTTCTGATTGTAGAGTCCTAGCATATGCAGAGGTTGTCGCCATCTTAATATTTGTAACATTTATCATAAGGTACTTCTTTACCTTGGGAAGTTTAGATACTTCACAAAGTTATAACTGCTGTTGACATTGACCCTGGTATGGTGTATCTACTGTTGAATTTAATTTTCAAAGCCATGATGATGTACTTAGACACATAGTAAATGCATAGGACCATAGATGACTTTGAAGTTTTTTTTTCATAGATTTCTATATATAAATAAAAAAATGTACATTTTGGCAGTTGCATTTTTACTCCTAATTAAGAAACCATAATTTAAAATTGCTATTAATTTAACGAATTCAGCCAATAGCTGATGTCTATTGCTGAGTTGTTTTCCTTCCAAATCATTATTATTGTAATCTAGTGTCATCTCATCTAGTATAGATCTGCCATGGTCACAAATCACAATCACAAATTTGTTTAGCAGTATGTTATATTGAAAAATATTGAAAACAATTATTATATGGAGTTTATCATAACATAATTTGAATGATAATATACTCTCGGTAATGTCTAATTTTTTTGTGGCACTTTGACTATAATGCTTCAGGCACATGGTGGAAGCTCAGAGAGCAGTGGGTTGGGAGAAATGTTTGATTCTCGTACTCATCACATGACAACTTCATATTCGAAGTTCCTCTGCCATTGGGATCGTTTGATTGATTTAGAAGCCAAAGAGACAGAGGTGCAATTTTCAAAATCTGTGTGTTTTTGTTTTTCCCTCTAGATTTATTTTCAATTAGTTTGTTATGGTTTAAGAAGTGCTCCCCTTCTTTGGTAATATGGTATATATTTTTTCTCCCTCTACTGTTTCAGCTTTTAAAGAAAGAGGTGTGGCGATCTTATAGTGTGAAGAGTCCAAACAGTGGTGGCCTTTCTTCGCTTGTTCTTGATGCTTCGCAAGGAATACCGCATCACAAAGATCTCAAAGATCATCGCTTCATTTATCGTTTCATACGAGATACTTCTACCCTTTCTGCAGTTCCTGATTCCTCTTCTAGTGCATCCTTGAAAAATGATTTAGATTGCATGCTTCGAAGTGGAGATCATGTGGTATTAATAATTTCCTTATAGTCATTTCAAAATAAGAGAATTTAGTTATGTCATGTCTACATGTTTGATAAAATCAAAAGTAAATTTTGGAATGTGGTGTGGGATGGTGACCCTTAAAAATGCTATGTAGCTAGAGTGGATTGGGAATAAGTGCTATTGTGAAGAATGCAGACAATAAAGTTCTCAAGTTTCACTTGGAAATACAAAGAAAAATAGGGGCCTATCCAAAATAAGTATGTAACAGTCTATAGATTCATAATATTGAATTATGCCCAGAAAAATCATAGATATAATAGAATATAGAATTGGAACAAAATGGCACGTGTACAGAAATACCAAGGAGCTCGATTATTGATGTGGTGATCCTTTCTTTAGTCATGGTGGAGCTTGATTTGGGTGAAAAAGAGATTGCTATGGTGGCTGTGCCTCTGTTCAATGCTAGATCTGCTCTAAATTAAGTCATGAAACTAGTGTCATTTGCTCTCACACTCATAATCAAAATGGTACCATTGAAAGAGAGCATCATCTCATTATCAAGATGGGCCTTGCACTACTAGCCCAAATGACTCTACCTTGAAGTTTAGGGATCATGCTTTCCTTACTCTGTCTATGATAGACACCCAATAACACTAGAACCAACAAACAATGAAGAATTAAGAACTGTAAATGTGAATAAAATGATCGATGCTATATTTATGGAATATGTAAAGAAAGGAAACTTAGAGAAGACAGAAATCTTCTCTTGCTTCAACTCTTCAAATGCTTGTTGCGCCCTGCGATTCCATTTACACCCGTCCTTCTTGGTTAACTCTGTAAGTGGTTTTGCAATTTTCTCATAATTCCTAATGAACTTACGATAGCACCCCGTAAGCCCTAGGAATCTCCTTACTCCCTTCACATTCTTTGGAATTGGCCACTCCATTACGCTCTTGACTTTGGCGGGGTCAACCTGAACTCCCTGCACGGATATCACATGCCCCCAAATATTCTACACTCTCCTGGGCAAAACTGCACTTTCCCTTGTTTGCGTATAACTTCTGTTGTCTCAAGATTCCCAGAACTGTTCTCAAGTGAGCCAAATGTTCCTCCCAACTGGCATTATACACAAGTATATCGTCAAAAAATACTAACACTCCCCTTCTAAGTAGATTATGAAATACCTCATTCATCAGCGCTTGAAACGTAGATGGAGCATTCATGAGCCCAAAAGGCATTACAAGATATTCGTAATGTCTTTCATGGGTTCGAAATGCTGTTTTCGGGATGTCCTCCACTTTCATTCGCACTTGATGATAACCAGACTTCGAGGTCCAGCTTGGAAAAAAACCTTGCTCCATGTAATTCATCCAATAATTCCTCTATTACAGGAATGGGAAATTTGTCTGGAACGGTGGCTTTATTCAGGACCCTATAGTCCACACACATCCTCCATTTATTATCCTTCTTTTTGACCAAAATTATAGGGCTGGAATAGGCACTGTGGCTGTGCCTTATGTGCCCAATTTTCATCAACTCTTGGACCTGTTTCTCGATCTCATTCTTCTGATGATAAGGGTAGTGATATGGCTTGACATTTATGGGCTCTTGTCCTGGCTTTAAAATGATTTGATGCTCCTTGGATCGTACTGGAGGCAAACCTCTTGGTTCAGCAAACACATCCTCAAAGCCATTCAACACTGCTTCTAACTCCCCATACTGTTTCTCTGACAGCCTTCTTTCTTGTATCTCCATGTTATCCCCAATTATTCCTTGGAGAGAGGCTGCTAATGATTCTTCACAATCCACCCCTTTCAATATTTTTGTGCCACGGTCTGTGGAAATCCTCATAATCTGCTTTCTCCAATCAACCCTCATTTCACCCAATGAAGCTAACCATGTCATTCCCAATATCATGTCAATATCCTTCAAATCAAACAGCACCGCATCTACTTTAAATTTCTCACCATCCACTTCCACTCCGATTCCGTGACAAATACCTTGAGTTTCAGCCTTATAACTGTCACCCATCAAAATACGCATATTTTTGGTGGGCTGCCAACTCCAACCCATAGCCTCTACCAAACGCTTCGAAATGAAGTTGTGGGTCACCCCACTGTCCACGAGTAAGAAGAGAGATAGCTCATTCACCTGCCCTTTCAGCTTGAGTGTACGTGGGGGGTTTCGTCGTTCTAGGTTTAAGTCAAAGAGATTAATAACACTGCATTCCCCTTTGCCTCTTTTGCCCTCATCCTCGTAAGCGTCTTCAGCCACATATTTTTCCTCCTCACTTTCCACGAGTAATTCATTATCCATCATAATAACCCGTAATTGCTTAATAGGACATTGATGCATTGGGCCATAGGTGCCTCCGCACTTAAAGTAAAGGCCCTTTTTCCTTCGGTCTAATAGCTCCTGATAGGCCATATGTTTGGCCCCTCTGTCACGAGGCCCAATTTTGTTTTTATCCACCTTCTCGTTTCTGAAATATGGGCCGGGCCCATCTACTCCTCCATCGGCTCCTTGCTGCTTAGGGATTATTGGGCCTGAAATAGAAGAGTAACTCTTAAAACCAGTTTGACCCATCCCTACCACACGCGTCTCTCCTTTTCTCTGCCATCCCCTCGTGTTTCTCATTCCAATCTCTGACTCTACTGCTCTGGCTGCATTCATCAGCTTCTCCCTTGTCAATGGGGCCACCACGTGCAAGCTCCTGAGGCGAGCTCGAGTTTCTTCGCTTAAACCATGGGTGGAATATGAAAAATATTGATCATCTATTAATTTGGGCACCTGTGCTACCAATGTCTCAAAAGTTTGGATATACTCCTCAATAGTGCTGGTTTGTTTCAATGACGTGAGCTGATCGAATACACTTCCCTCCTCCCTCCTCCAAACCTCCATACCTATCTAATAACTCCTCCTTCAAATGAGCCCATGTTAGCTCATCATAGTTATTCACCAAAGCATTGAAAAAATGGATTGTTCCTCCCTCCATGCACAACTGAGCAAGATTCACGTGTACTGCTTCGCTCGTTTCCTGTACCTTGAAATAAATCTCTGCTCTGGATATTCACCCCGCTTGGTTTTTACCATTAAACGATGGAAGTTCGATCTTCTTCACCGATTGACGAAATTCATCAAGAGGTTCACCCTCCAGAGGTTTCATACCAACATCCCCTCTAAATTTCTTTCCCCCATTAGTCGACCCCTTTCTTCTTAACTGAGTCTTCTCTGTCATCATCAGAATTCTTGCCAGAATTACGTGACAAGAGCTCAATGAGCTTTGATTGGATTTCCTTCGCTTCCTGCCTTATCGTCTCCTGAAATTCCTCCATCGACACTCGCATCCTAGCTAGTTCATTCTCCACTAGTCCCACCCGAGCTTCCATTTCTACCTCCGTCACTGGTTCCTCTGGTTTCGATTGGTTCCCTTTTCTCCTCGGTGCATTCAGCGTCTCGACGAAGAATCTGGCAGGTCGGACCAATTGATAGACACCCAATAACACCAGAACCAACAAACAATGAAGAATTAAGAAATGTAAATGTGAATAAAATGATGGATGCTATATTTATGGAATATGTAAAGAAAGGAAATTCAGAGAAGAGAGAAATCTCCTCTGCCAAGAGCTAAGCTCCTACACCAAGGCAATAACGGTAAGTAATAATCATATCCCCCTCCCACAAAATGTGAATCTATATATCACTAAATCTTCTCCCTTAACCGTAAGCCTCGTCAGCATTTTTCTTCTTCCTTCGTTCATACACAATCCACTGTTTTGGGCCTCCTTTTCCTTCATGGGCCAGTGGTTCTATTGACCCATGGTGAACCCAGGCCTTATCAGTCTACATTATTAATCATTTACCTTCTTTCTCCATCAATGGAGAAATGCCATATATCAAGTTCTTTGGCAAAGACCCTGATTACTTTTTTCTATGTATGTTTGGCTGTGTTTGCTACTGATTTATCAGGCTACATAATCAGCGCAAGCTATGGTTTCATTCCAAAGCATGTATATTTCCCGGTTACTCATGATGCCACAAATGTTACACATGTATGGCCCCTGATGGAATAGTCTACATTTCGAAGGATGTTCTCTTCAATGAGCACAAATTTCTATATTCTTCAGCCTTTTAGGAATCTCCTTATAAACCTGTGACTCCTGTTTTGCATCTGGGGCTCAAATTCCAAATTTTCCCAGGTTTTGTTGCTGCGACAACACACATAATGAACCTAATTTGGATGGCAATGGCACTCTTGCACTTGCACCTGATCCAGCACCTTTGCCCTTTCTGGATACACCTGATTAGGACCTACCTCAACTCATTTTATGCAAACAAGGTCCAAGTCTGGTATTTTCAAACCCAGATTGCATCATACCCTGCTGATTATGCATGTGGAAACAACTCCAATAAAACTAGCTCTCTCTGATCGTAAGTGCCTCTTAGCAATGACTGCTGAATACTCTGCTCTTCTTGCCAGTATTATGACTTTGGTTACTCTTCCTTCACACAGACAAGCCATAGGATATAAGTGTCTTTCGTCTCAACAAAAACCTTGATGGTACCATAAATAAATACAAAGCCCGTGTTGTTACAAAAGCATTCAGCAACAAGAATGATTTGACAACACTGAAACGTTTTTGCTTGTGGTGAAGCTTTTCACTGAGAATAATCCTTACCCTGGCTCTCACAGGAGTGGTCTATTCAACAACTCGACATTAATAATGCCCTTTTAAATGGCCATTTAGATGAAGTGGTCTATATGATTTAGCCTCTTGGCTTTGAAGTTGCAAACAAGTCACTTGTTTTCAAGCTCAACAAAGCACTCTATGGGCTAAAACACCTAGGCCCTGGTTTGGGAGACTCGTCAACACAGTTCATAGCTTCAGCTTCAATATCTGGCTCATGCATCTAAGTTGGACCTGATCTAGTTTCTTGGTGATCAAGGAAATAAACTCTTGTTGCTAGGTCAAGTGCTGAAACTGAATACCATATATAGCTGTTGCAGTGGCTGAAATTCTGTGGATCAAATCTCTTCTTCAAGAGCTTAAAGTTCCTTCACCTTCACCCATTGTGTACTGTGACTACTTTACTGTATCTCTGGCTCATCGTAATCCAGTTCTTTACTCAAGAATAAAATATATGGAGCTAGACTTACATTTTGTCAGAGAAAGAATTATTGTCAACTCATAGTATTCCATATTTCCTTCTCATGACCATCTTGCAGACATATTAACAAAAGGAGTAAGATGTAGCACTTTTTGTAATCTTAGAAGCAAACTCAATGTAGTTGATTCACTTTCAGTCAACCAACCCTCTTGAGTTTGAGGTGACAATGTTGGTGTAATGATATAATAGCTTTCTGAGATATTTCAATCTGTTGTAGCAGCTGTAACTAAGTCAGTTAGTTACTGGTTGTACCAGTAGCCAGTTTCTCTTCTCGTATATATAATGCTGTAATTCTGAGATACACGTGGAATGAGATCAATTTTGAGTTTTTCAGAGTATCCTTCCTTCCTCTTCTCTATCTTCTGATGTGTAGCTTATTGATTTCTAACAAAAATTAGTTCTCAAAGAATGTTAGAAAGAAAAAATTCCACTTTTACAATTCAAACAACAAAGATTTTGTTGTTTTGCAGCGTTCATGAGGCTATTTGTAGTCTAACATAAAAAAGTCTAAAATTATGAAAACTTTAGGCACAAATGATGGAGGTCCCTAATTAAAAAACTAACAAGAAAGGCCCAAAACTCCCCAAATAAAATAGATATCCTAATTGCTTCGCAGTTCACACCATGAATTCTTTCTCTAAAACAATAACAATCAAGGTAGTTAAAATCCCGATTTGAATCTTAAAATCTTACGATTTTACGATTTTGGAAGTCTCACCGATTTAAATTGTGGATAAAATCCTAATTGAGTAAAATCCTTGTAAAATCCCGATTTGAATCATAAAATCCCTCAAATTGTGGGATTTTACGATTTCACTTCGATTTTGAAAATTTCTCGCAAAGTTTATTTTGTTGAACCCTATCGTACGCTTCTTTCATATATTTCCTTTTTATGGAATCTAATTTGCCTTTAGCAGCTTTGAACCCTAACATTGTTGTCAACATTCAACAGTCCTCCTAGTGCGTGCAACCTGGTCTGCAACTAAATCTATTATTGTTCTTACATCTTTTCTGTTCTGGTCTGTTTTTTATTCATGTAAATGCATTACATTCTTATGGAATAAATTATGATTTGTGAGTGCTACGTTGTTTAAGTACTTTTACTGATTTGAAACTTTTTTCCCTTAATTTATGATATTTTATATGAATAATATGAATTTATATCATATATATGAATTTTATAAAATCTTATGATTCAATTTACGATTTTCACTCTCCTTTACGATTTAAAGTAAAATCCCGATTTTAACTACCTTGATAACAATAACAATAATCCAGGCTTATCTTACTAGGTGATGTCAGTTACATGGATTACACAATGCTATTGTGCTCAGTCAAAAACCAAATTTTTAGAAATTTGGTTAATCAAAAAGTTTCTTTTAATAACTTTGTCGAAGGTTCTTTTGGGTACCCCTCGATCCTTCTTTATTGGAGTAAGAATCATGTAATTCATTCTCCTGGCACCTCCAAAGGTGTTTTCTGCACGACCAAACCACTTTAGGCGATTTTCAGTCATCTTTTCTACTATAGGTGCTACTTCAATATTCTCGTATATACTATCATTTTGTATCTTATCCTTTCTTGTGTGTTTACTCATCCACCTTAGCATTTTCATTTCTGTCACTTCCCATTTTTTCTCATGTTCCTTTAAGGCCCACATTCACTACCATAAAGGATAGCTGGTCGTATTGCTGTAAGGTAAAATTTTTCTTTCAGCTTGATAGGTATTTTACGGTTACTTCACAAATAAATTCTGATGTCTTTCTCCATTTGAACCACCCAGCTTGTATTCTATGACTAACATAATTAATTTCCCCATCATTTTGTATTATTGATCTCAAGTACCTGAAATTCTTTCTCTAAAACATTGATAACATTATAAATCATGATATCTTTCTCTTTAATTTCCTTTTTGAGTGGCGAGATTTTGCCAAAGTTTTTAGCACAAGCCATTTAAGGCATTCTGAATCTTTTTAACTTGTGTTCTTGTAATTGGCCAAATTGGTGAAGTTATTGACTCTTTCACAGGGACATATATCACGTCACTTGAACTTCTTGCTAGAACCAAGCATATGGAGATTGGCATCTTTGTTTGTGAGAAAGTCATCAACAAGAGCTTGATTGTCAGTCACATTTTTGCGTTGGACCAATATGTTGACATTCTCACTAGGGTTCTCTCACTTCTGATTTTCAGTTCTGCACACCAAATTCAGTGTTTGATGGAATTTTTCTTAGTCAATCACCGTGAGTTTGAGGGGGAATGTTAGAGTATATAACCTTGTTTAGTTTAGATGTCAGTTGAGATGTTAGCATGACCACTGTATATTTTACAAATGCAGCAGAATAGTAGTTAGTATTCTTTTTATGAGATATGAGTGGTGCAAAGCCTAGATGTACACGTAGTTTTTTGGATCTCTACATTCAGATTAACATTTTCAGAAGAAATTTCTTATTTTCTTTTGTTTCTCTCTATTCTGAATCTAAACAATGACCTAATAAGGTATGAACCTTAAGCTATATTAATTATGCTCAGCTTGTACAGGTGGAATAAATTTGTGTATTCTAGTCAAAGCCTTTGTGATGTCCTAACATGGAAGATAGGTATAAGGTTTTCCTCTCAAAACAAAATGACATTCCATCTCAATATGCTTAGTCCTCTCCTGAAATATTGGATTGATCCGATATTTTGACCTCTTGGTTATCACACCAAGGTTTCATAGTGGGTCTTACCCACTTGACTTTACTAGTAGTTTGCCATAGCACATTATTCTGTTTTCACACTTGATCTTGCCACTGTCTGCTTCTTACTCTTCCATGGTATCAAATCACCTCTTAGAAAGACAGTATCCTATAATGTATTTTTGATATATAGGGTATCCTACCCAATTTGCATTTAAAAAGGATTCCACTTTTGAGTGGCCGTGATCCCTTTACATATTATTGCACCACTCACTGGAAAAGCTATGTCTAACTCCCTAACCTGTAGTTGCGGGTCAGTTAGAGGAACTCCTTTTGTTATAAGTTTTGGACCTGGTGGCTCCACTTGGGTCTCAAATATTTTGGATTCCATTAGTTCAGCCTCTGCTACAGAAATATTTAAGATTCCCCAGACCTTGTTTGGAATATGGTCTAGACATTAGAGAAAAATCTTCAATTTGCTCATTCTCTTATTGTTGCTCAATATAATCGCAATGTCTTCAACATACAAACATTAGCTAGGAAAATTTTTTCAGTACTCCTAGAATATGTACTTCCTTCCCTTTAAAGCAAAGCACAGCACTTGGCATGTATGGTTATTTTATTCTAATTTAGTTTTTTTTTTTCTAAAAGGAAAATAAGAAAAAAACTGATAAATATGGAAAGAGGGGGGTAGGTACTACAGGAGTACTGAAAATTTACTCATTAGCTAAATGCAACGACAAGCTACCTATTTGATGAATATTGTATGGTCACACTCCTAAACCTAAATTATACAACCGCTTCACTAAATCTTCCAAAGTAGGACCTAGGTGATTAATCTCTTTAGCCCAAATAGGAGGCTTCTTTAGTTGACTGACCTTACTATACTCCCTTGAGTAGCAAAACTAGGTTGGTATTGCAAATTGCTGTAAATACATCCTTTACATTTTGATATGCCCTGGTTGTGAGGACGTGTGTTGGGTCTGTGGGTTGGGTTCAACATAATGGCTCATGCCCAATGGCTTAAGTTGGGAAGGGCTTGTATATGATGCAGGGTGTTATATATCAAGAATTGCATCTCTGCTAACAGCTTAAGCTTTTGGCATGACAGTAAGTGCATTTGGTCATATCATTTGGCATAAGAGCTGGAGTGGGTTTGAATCCCAGGTTCATCTTATTCCCAAATATCTCATGGTTCTTGGGTGGACCTTTGCTAAGATGGAGGGAATGATATGTCCATAGGATTGCAAGGGTGCATGTTGGTTCAACCAAGACATCAATGACTTGATGGTGAGCGCTGTTTAATGGGCGACGCTCACCTAGTGGCTGTTTTTCCAGAAATCTGGCCAAGTTTTGCTAGTTTGTACAGGCTGTATTGCATATCAGATCCGATATGATATTTGGACTGGTCAATTAGCCAATTTTTGGTCCACCAGTCCAACTGGCTGGTCTGAGCCGAGTTTTGGAACATTTGTACTAGGTCATTCTCCTGCATGAAAGCTGACTTAAAATAGTAAAACTAACTATGAAATTTTCTGCCCATAAAATGGACATTTTAATAACTGCCTTGATAAGTGGGTTGCTTTATGGATCTTATTTCATTACTGATTCATAATATTAATAATGTTTCAATTTGTAACTACTTTTGTGTTTACTTTTTAGATATTGAGTAATGAATCTAGCCATCAAATTATTACAAAGGGGGTCATATCTGATATTAGCCAGATCCATGTATCTGTGAGTATTTCCTTTTCTGTTTGATGTTTTACTAATTTGTACCTTAAGGTTTACTATGTATGCTTGTCTTTACAAGAAAATATCCCAAAGACTGACATAATCCTTGGTGGGACAGTTATATCTTACTTAATTGATCTTTTAAAATTTCTTTGTAAAATTCCCCTAGGTTTCTTTTTCTAAGCGATTACGAATACCCGGGAGTTCTTCCACTGCACATGATCTTGTTCAGCAGGTCTGGAGAATTGATAAGGATGAAGTTGTGACTTCATTTGCCATTATGAGGTGCTTCTCTAACTACTGCTTCATTCAAGATTTAATTTAAAGTGTCTGCTGGTATTAAAAGTTATTTAATTGTATAATTATTTTTATCATTTTAATTTTTAACTGTAGGTTTAATCTTGTACAACTTTTTCTACAAAATGATCAAAGTGCTCATCTGCGGAGGATGATTGTTGACCTTGAGGTGAATTACTTGCCACATTTCTGTATGATTTACTGTCTCCCAAAATCACTATCTTTGCTAACTGCTTGCTCCTTTTCTCTGTCACTACGGATTGCTGACTCTAGGCTCCTAGATTTGACACTGGATCTTTAGTTAGCCAGGATCCAGCAATATCCTATGTTTGGTCGGAGAAGAGTTTGAATGATGATCAACGTCGAGCAATTCTCAAGGTTTGCACAAGCCAAAACTTCTTGATTTAGTTTCCTAAATTTATTGCGTAAGTTGATTTATTCCTAAATTTATCATTAAAATGATTTTTCTTTGTAACTCTGCTTTGTTACTAATTTGCAGATACTTACGGCAAAAGATTATGCACTTATATTAGGGATGCCTGGAACAGGGAAGACATCCACCATGGTCCATGCTGTGAAAGCCTTGTTGATTAGAGGAACATCCATTTTACTTACAGCCTATACTAATTCGGCTGTTGATAATTTGCTCATCAAATTAAAAGCACAGGTATCCATGTCCACATTTTATATTGTCTTCATGTATTATCATGTCATTAAATATGGTTGCTCTGTTGCAGGAAAAGAATGCATGCCATTTATTTAAATTGTCCTCTAAGATATGATTGATTGGAAAAATATGAAGCAATATATTTATTCTCTGATTCCCTCATTGAATCCTTTCATGACTGCATAGACTACATTCACTTGATTGATGTCCCTTGTGGAGTACTAAATTTTCTTTATTGATGCTTGCCTTTGTTATCCAAATGACTATAATATATTGTTCCCTTATTTTCTTAAATTTCTACTTTTTACATGTCATTATAATATAAATGGATGTAGGGCATTGATTTTGTACGTATTGGAAGAGATGATGTAGTGAATGAGGAGGTCAGAGGGCACTGCCTCTCAGGTTTGCCAATTTATTTCTTTTATTCTCCCTTTTAAGTGGCAATAATATTTGTATTAAATATTTTGACAGTAGTTTCTATTTCAGCAACAAATGTGCATAGTGTTGAAGATATAAAAACAAGGTTAGAACTAGTCAAAGTTGTTGCAGTTACTTGTCTTGGCATTTCTAGTCCGTTGCTTGGCAACATGAGATTTGATGTATGCATCATGGATGAAGCTGGACAGACAACTCTACCAGTATGCTTCTTATTCCTTTCATATATTTTACAGGGTACATGTGATCCTTATTATTGGTGCTCATTATTTACAGGTCATACGATAGGAAATGGGTGATCAGAGCAGAAAATCTCTCTATATTAACATTATAATTCATTCTTTGCTTTTCATATAATGATATTATTAGAATGAACATACATCAATATTGAGTTGAGAATGAATTAGTATGTACTGAGCTAGTATAGACTACTAATGAAAAAAATCAAGTGACTAAATGAAACTACTGTAGGTAACTGAATAACTAACTAAACTAACAAACCAACATTATCTAATTGTAATACTTCCTCTCAAGTTGGGAGGAAAGTATCAGAGGTTCCCAACATTCATACTAGAGGATGAAACTTGGTTGTTGTAAGGGACTTCATTAACGTATCAGCTAGTTGATGTTGAGTCCTGAATAAGCTTCTGATAGGTTCACAAAGGTGTACCACAGAAAGAGTGATGGGACCCAAACCCGTAATGAAGGCTCTTGTATGCAAGTCTGATGAAGCCTACTGTTTGGCAGGTTTATTCCCGTAAGTAGAAAGCCAATAATCAGTAACAAGGGCTTATTAGGAAGTTAGTTAGGATTTTGAATAAGATAAGCTTCAAATAGTTTGTTAGAAGAGATAAGGATTAGATTAGTTTAGCTTTAGTTTGTTTAAAGAGATAAGGATTCGATAAGTTTAGCTATTCTTTATTTAAGCAGTCAGTTTTGGTTATTAGGGGACTTTTTGGGGAATAACAGAATCTCTGGGAGGAGTTGTCGCTCTGGGGAAATTCTTGTAATCCAAGTTCTTCAAGTAATTAATAAAAGTTTTTTTTCTTCTTTAATTCTTACTGAATTTTGTCTCTGGACCCTAACAAAGAGATGGAAGGAAATAGGCGGGAAATTAAATAAATAGCCATCAAGTGGGTATGCCAACCGTAATTTTTGTATTAGTCACTGTTATAAATAAGGATATGAGGGATAAGTGAGTGTGTTTTTGTAATTGATAATTGGAAAGGTTGGGAGAGTGGAGTTATCTCAAATAACTCTGGTAGTAATCAGTGTAACATTTTCACTTAAATTCTGAATCACTATCTACATGGTACTGGTTTGGAAATTAGGTTTTTCTCAATAAAAATTCAAGAACTATTTTTTGTATGTCTGTACCAGTCCTATCAGCTTCATAAAACCAGAATAATCATGTTCTCAAATAAAATTGCAGCCGATGATGATAACATGTTCTGATCGTTCATGTAATGTAGGATTTGAAGCAAGGTATATAGCAGAGACATTTTACAGAATATCATGGCTGAGAGTTCCAAGTTTTGAAGTGATGTCAAAAGGATATTTAACCAAAGGAGCTTATAAGTGAGACTAACTAATGCCTTGTACGTAGCTTCAGTTGGGGATTGAGAGACAGTAGGCTGTTTCTTTCATTTCCAGGAGATGACTCCTAGAATGATGCGAAAGCTAGTTGTGGACCTGCAAGTGTAACGGTTGATGTGACCCCCAATGGTAGTCAACACATAACCCATGAACAAGTAGTTTTTCTTCACCAAAAAGTATATCAGATTGAACCTTGCCCCCAAACTAGTAGTTTGTAACTGTAGTTATTTAGAAGAGATGGTGACACACTCTAGAATTAAGATGGGACTTGGGAATGATAAAACAACAGCAACCCAAGAACCTGTGGATTTCTTGCTAATGGATTGCTGCTTCTTGAGAGGCATAGATCAACGACATCGACAAGGGAAAACAAACTCTCAACTTTATATGTCCTTGTCAATGAACAACATGCCTCTCTCTCTTTCTCCCTTCTTTGCCACCCTTGTGTCTCTCTCTACAAAATCTGAGAGCAAGCTCCTGCTCATGTCACCTGTGTGACACCCAGGCGCTAGGCGATGGCGGGGAATGATCGCCGGTGCAATGTGGCACGGACAAGGAGCGACTACCTGGCAGGTTTCTGGCGGTAAGGGGCACATGAATGAATCAAACTTACGTCGGAATGAAAGGGGGATCTAGAGACTGTGTATACAATTAAGGATAGCTTAAAGGAATTGATTAGGACTATCTATACTAACAAAATGCATTTACTTTTCGGTGGCCTATCACTTAAGAACTCCAAAGTTAAGCGTGCTTAACTTGGAGCAATTATGGGATGAGTGACCTTCTGAGAAGCTCTCGGGAAGTGTGCGAGTGAGGACAAAGCACACTGAAAAGTCTCGTATTGGTTTGTGGAGACAGTCGTCAGTCCCAAATAAGTTGTCAGGCTGTTACAACCTGCAAAGCTGATGCCACCTCTCTCTGCCTTGCCTGTGACTACGACATCCACTCTGCTAACCCCTTGCCAGTCGCCATCAACCGCCCCTCTTCCATTGACATTGCTGCTATTGGTCGATGTTGCCAACCTCTTCCTCCCTCACCCCCAACCATTTGGTTTGAACTCTAATTTTTCCCAAATTCCCAAATTTGTGCTTTCGAAGTCGAATCATTGCCAAGTGATGCCTCTAAATTTAAAATGTGAAACTTTTTTTTTTAGGAACCAAAATCATAAATAAGCGTTTACTAATATAATGAAACTACTCAGAAATAAACCTAGGCCTAAATAATAATCTTGGCTCATAACATACATCAATGACCAATTGCCTAGTTGTGCATCCACATGGCCTTTCTCCAAATTAGAATGAATAAGCAAAACCAAGTGTTTGGGCTCTTTCGAATCTCTATTTTTTTCTCTTCAGTCCATTATCATTGAATGAAGGAAGTCATAGAGGATATTAATGAAGAGTGGTGCAGTGACTAAGTTGGTAAAATTAGAGACATCAGCCTTGGGTGGAAGATGCCATGAGCAGCCAACAAGAGAGAGAAAGAGGCCTGGACAGAGGAAAAAGAGACCAAACAAAGTTGCATGAAGCCCGAAATGAAAAAGAGTTCACAGATCCAGAATTGTCTCAATGAGGCAAGTCAGACAAGCTTAACAGCAGCCACAAAAGTGGAACAGGAAGGTCGGTGAACAGTAACATTGGCTGTGAACACTAATGACTGAGTTTTACAAAATCTAATGGAAGATATGGAGGATTATCTGGTTCAAAATGTTGGTTTCCGATTGAGCACCTGGTCTCCGCTGTAGACATCACAGTTTGATCATCGGTATTCAGTATTCACCATAGGCAACTGAAAAATAGACAAAAAATAGACATTCTACAAAAACAGTTCTATTAGGCTAGAAACTAGTTAGATCACGTGTACATTTATTACTTTCAGTTTGTGTATGTGTGCTTACTATTTTATATAAGTCCCTGTATTTATTACTTTCAGTACATATATATACTATTTTCTGCTGTGTAGTTCACATGAATTCCCATACATGGCTATCAATTGTTTCTTCTTCTTTCAACCAGAGTCATCCTCCAGTCTAGGATTGTTTCTCTCCTAATGTGAGCCTTTCCTATTTTCTTTCTTGTGTTCATATTCATTCGTTTGAATGCCACCTTATCCATCATGAAACTGTACCATTTGCTTCACTTCCTAGTTCCTACATGATCATTTGGATGACCCCCTGCTCCATCTTTTCTTTAGAGCTATCCTTCCAAATCTTCCCAAAAATTTACCTCCCATTTTGGGGTGAACAATTTTGAAATCTACTATTCCTTTCAATATCAATTTCTAAATCTATTATCTGATCTATAAGCCTTCACTCACCGTAATAGTCTTTCAAGTAACAATATTACCCATCCTGTTTCTTGCTCTAACTTGTGCATCAAAGTTTAAAACCTGAAGTGTTTAAATCATTAACTTGTGCTGTAACCAGCTTAATTTCTTGGTGGCGCATGTGGTTCTAATATTACAAATGCAACAATGAATCCTACTCCCAAGGGTGGCTTCTTTAGCCCCATCCATCCCAGGGAAAATGTGATAACCCATACCTTTTGCAACAAATGAATGCTGAATTGTTGATGTAGTGGTTGTTTGTAGTGCATTTTGTGCTGTATTTGATCCATGCAGTGTGTTATGAACTAACATGAGCACAATATTGTATTGATTAATGTCATAAGATTTTTTAATGTGGGTTATTGGTTCCCAACAATGCCCTCTTTATTTATCAGGGCTTGGGACTAGCTTTGTAAAATACAAGACCATTGCATGACACAGGACACATTAAGAAAAAGAAATAGATGTTTGTTCTTATATAATTATGATGCAAATATTTCCATTTCAGGTGTCCTTGGGCCCTCTAACATTTGCTTCAACGTTTGTACTTGTTGGGGATCATTATCAACTGCCACCACTTGTGCAGGTATGTGTTCAGACTCTGCGTTTTTTGTTCTTTTACTGTGTTGCTGATAGATCGAAAGTGCACCTTTATTGTCAAGTAGTATAAAAGGTCATTGTCTCCACAAGAATTGTGCTGTTACGTACCACATAATTGCAATCTAACTATCTAAACATAATCAATTAATAAGATGAATTAGCGAGAAAATAGAAAAGTCAGAAATTAAAAGTGCAATTAGTTTAGAAGGGGTGAATTCAAATTCTAACAAACATTTAGGATTGGTTATATCACAAATTAGAATTAACGAACATTACTAAAGTAGATCTTATGTTAATTCTTGATTTATCTTGAAGGCAAATTACTCTAAATGTGATTATTGTTTCCTTTTAGACTACAATCATGTATTTAATGATATTAACTTCTACTTTTGTGGTACAACAACAACAACAACCAAGCCTTATCCCACTAGATGAGGTCAGTTACATGTATCACATGACACCATTGAGTTCGTTCAAAAAACTTTAAGAAATATTATTAATAACAAAATCTCTTTTAATAAGTTCCTTTAAGGTTCTTCTGGGTTTCTCTCTACCTGTTTTATTGGACTAAAAGATATGCCATCCACTCTCCTCACTGGTGCCTCCAAAGGTCTTCTCTACATGTGAGCAAATCATCTAAGATGTTTTTGGGTCATACTTTAAAATTAGAGATGAAATATTGCATTTGACCCAAAGGTCTTCTCTACATGTGAGCAAATCATCAAAGATGGTTGAGTCATACTTGAAAATTAGAGACAAAATATACATTTGACCCAAAGGTCTTCTCTACATGTGAGCAAATCATCAAAGATGGTTGAGTCATACTTGAAAATTAGAGACAAAATATGCATTTGACCCAAAGGTCTAAATTTATACAAAGCGTACGAGGATCTAATAAATGAAATCCGGATACTACAATCCTAATTACTGTATTTACACAATTCCAATATTATGTTCCTAATTACTATATTTACATATCAACATTCCTAGTTAGTGATTTACATATCAATAAAACAAACGATAATCTTGCATCAAATCAGGAAATATTCTCTCATTAGTCATCTTTCCACTATAGGTGCTACCCTTTTTTGCAAAAGAACTCTGCCTATGTTTCTCTTGGGGTATAATTATGGCATCTTCATTCTCAGGTCAACAATGTTCCCTTTTGTCTTTTTTTAGGTTTTTTTTATGGATAAAGCTACAGCTCTCTCTTTTAGATCTTTAGGGAAAAAGCCCAAATAATTTTAGTAGTTCTTGTTGGCACTGCAAAACAGGTGTTTTTTGCAGCACAGCTAGGTTGTGTTTGCTGCTGCCATTTCCAACTCCTTTAAATTAGAAAGAAACACTGGTGTGTTCCTTGATACAGGTGAGTTGTGTACTCTCTTGCCAAGGCTTTTTTTTTTTTCTCAATTCCAAGCTTCAAAAATCTCTTAAGCTTCATTCTCTTCATTCCAGCCTCCAATTTACCCACCTTCCATCTCCAAAATTCACTTTCCCACATGACAAATACATAAAACAAGTAATTTGAAATTTTGAAGGAAACAAGTAAAATGCCCAATGAAATCCTATCTAAATGCAGGATAATGCATGATTTAAATTAGAATGCAACTTAAGAATTAATGCATAAATTGCACACATTAGTAGCGTGTACAAAACTCACTAATATAGTTTTATTTAAATTTTGTCTGATGTTTGCTAGAGTGCAGAGGCTCGAGAGAATGGCATGGGGATAAGTTTGTTCTGTAGGCTCTCAGAAGCACATCCAGAGGCTATTTTAGCTTTACAGAGTCAGGTATGTTATGGTCAATAGATATTAACTTACAAACATCAGTTTGGTTCTTTTTGCTCCATTCTCTATCAGCTTCACTTACTTGGTTAAAATATATACAGTATCGTATGTGTCAGGGCATTATGGACCTTTCAAATGCCTTGATATATGGTGAAAGATTGAGGTGTGGTTCATCTGAGATAGCTAATGCAAAACTTGAGTTTTCTGGCTTAAACTGTGGTTTGCCTTGGCTAGAAGATGTAAGGCTTTTCTATTCTTGAATCTCGCTATCTTACCTGTGGAGGATTTTGCATTTATTGCTCAATTTTATCGATTCATAAGAGCTTCTTCTCATTGATGATGGAATTAATTTGATTTGTTTTGACTTAAGTATTATTATAGTAGATAGTACTACTTTAGGAAATATTATTTCCTTTTGTAACTGTACAGATTTGTTGCTTTACTTTCTTTTATCAGGAAGAATTTGTTTTTCCCAATGCACCTTTATTCTAGGCATATTGTTATCAAAATTGAGCAATAATATTCAGAATTTCTTCTTTCAAGTTGGCATGAAAGCTCAGAATTCTATTTTCCGCTGACCAACTCTTGTCCCCAGCCTTCATAGCATATCACTATTCCTTTTATGTTGAGTCTTCACCGTTCAACACTTAGTCCTATGTAAAACTTTTGGAGCTTACTCTCTCCTGCAGTCCAATCATTGGAGCTAGCTTACCAGCTTACAAAAAGATGTCTGACTGGAAATGTCCAGATTCCTTCATGTACACATTTCTTGCTGTTACGTTCTAGGCCACCTGCCACCTTTCCAACCTCCGTACACCTTCCACTTTATGCTTCCCTCTCCAGAATCCCTTTCTCATGCAAGACTCTGTTTTGTTTAGACTTCACCATGGTTTACACCAAACCTACCATCTCCTCAACCATTGGGCATTTCACCACTTCGTCTTCCACCACGCAGACCAGTACCATACCTGACACTCCTCTGAATCCTAACTACCTCCTTGGTTAAAATTTTACATTTAGTTCCTTTAGTTGTCACATGTTTATGAAAGTATAGGGACTAATTCCCTATACTTTCATAAACATGTAACAACTATAGATTAGGAATATGTTAACTATGTTTAGTACACATAAGCCAGCTCTATGTACTAATCCAAATAAAAGTAAATAAGACCATAAATTAATACTTATTCTAGGAATGTCACTGGATACAGATCATTTTTCTTTTTCTTAGCTATAGCACTTGATGCAGTAGTTTATCATTTTATCAATTTGAACTCAATGCCAATTAATAGAGCACCTATAGGTAGGGAAATTATGCTGAGCTGGTTGTATTTATTCAACGGTAAATTTTTAATAAAAGTTAAGCAAGTGAACTGCTGAATCTTCAAGGAAAAAAGTTTGCTGTCAGTTGACGATATTTATGCTGGGATACAAAAATATTATATCTTTAAGTACGATTGAATCTTATCTCTATATAAACATGCAGGTTTTGAATCCTCGAAGGCCTGTGATATTTATCGATACTGGTTTGTATATATCTTTTCCTTTTCCTTTTCATCCTTTGCCTATGTTCATTGTAAATGGTGTTGCTTATATAAATATTTATTTTTCCATCGTAGACAAGTTGCCTGCTTTAGAGGAAAGAGATCAGAAGATTGTAAATAATCCTATTGAAGCTCACATAATTGCTGAGGTAAGTCATTTTCAACATATTTCCACCAGAGACTTGGCTGGCAACATTTTGTACTGTGAGGGGTTATTTTCTTCCAAAAATATCCCGCCTTATCAAGTGAATTAAAGGTTTGGATTAACCAAAATAAAAATAATTAACCTTTTTTTCTATATTGTAGTAACCCATGTAGTCTATATATATTAACTGAAGCTGAACTGGGAACAATTTAACCAAATGATCACATTAGAAAGACAATAAAAACTAATTCATTTTGTATGATCTTAAGGATAGGGACGTGCAAAATTTTATAATAGACAAAAAAATGGCTTTATTGTCTCTCTTGTTTTAGTATTAATGGCGTACTATGTTTTCATATTGGGTTATATATTGATTTTACTTGCTAAACTACTTTATGCATGGTTAATACACTTGGGCATTATACTGTGTGAAAAGTTATTCTTATTGTTAAGAAATTTGGGCCTAACTCATTTCCAAAAGCTAGCTCATAAAAGGAGAACTACCCTAGTCCTTATAAGAAGTATTCTGGCTCTGTTAACAACCTTCATATTAGTGTCACTAGGATTATTTATGTGGTGTCTGAACATACAGCAAATCCAATGTCTGGTCTGGTGTGTGATAAGTATATCACTTTTCCTACTAGACCTTGGTCTAGACCCAAAGTGCTACTAGCAATCATCTTTTCTGGCATAAGATTCAGAGTTCTCACCTTCCTTCTCCGGCAATTTTCCAATTTCTTCAGCATTATTGCAAAGTAGAGAAAACTGTTTCAACTGATTTTCTGCAGTCTCCTTATGCAGTGCCTCCATTGTCTTTTGATTCTCAAGCCTCATCGCCTCCATCGTGGCTCTCATACTCGTCAACTCCCATTCAATGAAGTCGATTCTCGATTCCATCTCCACAAACTTTGCTGTTTCCTGTGATGGCGTTTTGGTAATTGATGCTTTCTTCTTCCGTGGTGGCATTCACTGTCAAAGAATAATATGGCAGGTTGAACCAATTTGTTATAGACCCGAAAATCACTGAAAAAGATATAGGGCAGAAACAGTAATATTAAGAGAGAATAAGGGAAGTTTGTATTATTTGTAATAGAAAAAGGAAACTATGCAAAAGAAGAAAGGTTCTTCTAATGCCCCGAAGCAATGTTCCTTAGGAGAGCCAAATAGCAACCCTATCCCACAACTTCCAAAAGAACAAAAAATGCCCCTCTACTCATGACTAAACAGGCCTAAGTAATCAAAAACTATTCTCTCCTTAACTAACTTTGCCAACTCAGCTCATCTCAAACATTTCCTAATTTCTTTTCCTCACATACACTATCCAATCTTTGGGCTTGGCTGAAACTTCAAGGATCACTTTATTTTCTTCTCCTCGGTCCCCATCATAGCATCGTGGTTCAGTGTAGCTGCTGGAGCGGTGCAAATTGCGGCCAAAATTGTGGAAAATCACGACTGTTGGCAGCTGCTATTTGATGCACGACAGAAATGTCATATTTACCCTTGTTTTCTTAACATTATAAGGCTTTTAAGGGGGCAATTTTGACATTTTGCTCTCCTTTCCTTTACATTGTTGATTTCTGCATGTCATTATGTCATTGAAACTCAGTACTCTTAAACCCTAAGTGCTCCCATTCACCATTTTTGTTTTCTGCCCAAGTTCCTGTTATCTTCTTCATCTTTGGCGAGATCTATTCATTTTTGACGTTACCCATTTGCGTTAGGGGCTACTTTCCAACCAACATCTGAATCTGTTCACACTATCTGGTCAAGTTATAGTCACCTTCATTTCCAACAAGGCCACAAATTGTTCGGAGATCATCTGCGTTAGGGCCTTTTTCTAGTGAGACTTACCTGTTTTGTTCTATTTTTCTTTTCTATTCTGTTCTGACTTCTGAGAACCCCTCCAAATGATTGAAATTTGAAATCTTCAGCATGTATATGAGTAGCATAATCGATATTTGGTGTATTTAAAATTTTCAGAATAGCAGTAATCCTGCTATCTGCTATTCCGCTATAGTGTTTGTGGGATTGACCGCTTCCCACTGCTTTCCGAGATTGACTACTATGATTTTATTCTTGGGGTAGTTGCCCAAGCCATTTAAGTTCACATGCAGTTGTTATCATAGCACGATAGTCAACTTCAGCACTAGATCAAATAACTACATTATGCATTTTACTCTTCCATGACATCAGATTCCTCCAATTCTAAACACTATCTAGATATGAATTTTTTCTCTGATGGCGATCCTACCCAATCAGCAATCACTTTAACCCTCGTTTTGGTGCATTGTTTTATGTACTGAAAAATACCAATTATGTCTCATTGACTATCCTATGAGCTATCTAGAAACTGACTTACCACCCTAACTATAAAATTGGTGTTAGGTCTGATAATAATGAGATACTTATGTTTGCGCACAATGTGTCAATATCTTCCCAGGTCTTTCAGTAGCCCCTTGACCTGGGAGAAGTTTAGTATTGGGATTCATAGGAGTATCAAGTATACTGGTGTTAGTGAGAATGTCTAGAGCTTACTTTCATTGGGTAAGGGAACAAGCCCCCACATGTCACTAGAATGCAAAGCAATCATCTTGTCTACCATTGCTTGGCACCAGTGACGGTTAGCCATGGTCTCACCTATAGATTTAATCTGAAAATGAGACAAAAAATAGTAAGGATATAAAATCGTTCATAGTTAAAGTTACAAGCATAAAGAGGATTAAGATTGCAGGAGGACAAAATACCTTTTCATAATGCACGGGGAAGTTCATGGGTGGAGGGTGATTGGAATCAGAGATGAGATTGGAGGATTAGTGGAAATGGGGGTGGGGGAACCATTGGAATCTGATACGGTCATTGATAAGTAAGCAAAAAAGGTGGAGCAGAAGTAAGGATGAAGATGAAAACAATAGGAGGAATAGCAAGAGAATCTAATATGAAATTGCATCAAGAATAGTGGAAGAGGAGAAGAAAGGACAAGTCTAAAAAGAATGTAACATTACTAGAATTCAAATACTATTGAAATTGAAGACAAAAACAATGATAGCCTCTTGAGACGTGATGTGAGTAATCTAAAAAACATAATTGAGAGATTTGGCAGAGTTTGTCTTGGAGTGAGATGGTGAACAAAGCATGTGCAACCAAATATACAAAGTGGAGTATATTAAGGATCCTGATTAGGATATTAAAGGCAGTAGGGAACTTGGTTTTGAAGAATAGAAGGCATGCATTTGATCAAATAACATGTCTTAAGAAGAGCATCACTTTAAAAATGAAGTGGAACATTGTGGTGAAGAAGAGTATGATCAGTTTTGGCCATATCTGTAGTTGATGTGTGACTTCAACAATTACAATTCTAAAAATTTATGGAGAATACAAGAGGGGAATCTTTCCACTTCTCCCTAATTCAGTTGTGGTGACAGCTGTCACTGAACTGAACAACTAGCCTGTAGAGAACTGTTAACAACTTAACCAATACATTAGCTTATTCTATGCTCATACATTAACAATTAAAGATTCATCGCCATTTGACAGCATTTGATGGTCTCGTCCAACTTTTAATTTATTTTATATTGCAGGTTGCAAAGGAATTGGTAAAAAATGGAATTGGAAGAGAACACATTGGCATTATTACTCCCTATAATTCACAAGCAAACCTTATCCGGCATGCTGCTTGCATGACATCCTTGGAAATACACACCATTGATAAATACCAGGTTTGGCTGCAGAAAGTATCAAGAATTATGTTTACAGTTTTGGCTTTTGACTTGTGAACCTGCCTTACAAAAATTCAATCCTCCTATACAATGCATGGTGTTTAACATTTCACTACATTTCAGGCATAACTTAGGTGTTTGTCCATTTTTTCAGTTCTGATAATACAGATTATGGTCCTTATAAATCGGTCATGTGTTTGTCCAGGGCAGGGATAAGGACTGTATTTTAGTATCTTTTGTAAGGTCTAGTGAAAACCCAACAAGCTGTGCTGCTTCTCTGCTTGGAGACTGGCACAGGATAAATGTGGCTCTTACTCGTGCTAAGGTAGTTCTCTTGTGCTTAAACACTCACAATTTCCAATATGCTTGAGCTTGATGATAATTAAGGTTAACTAATCAGGTTGTGGTTATTAAATAAATGCATTTATAAAAACAATGAAAACGGTTTTTTCTACTTTTCTTTAATGTATAATTGTATATCGTTATACCTCGTCATGATGAAAACTAGCTTTTGTTACTTGTGTGGCTTCAAACGATTATTATATCTTTGGGAACACTGGATCTTTTAGAAACTGTTTTATATACAAGGAGAAAACATAATAGTTACTGGGTTATTTCATTAATCCATGTAATAGATTTCTTCTCTGGTATGTAAGCATTGTGGTGAGTATACAGATATTTATTGGGTTATTAACTTATTATGATCCAAGTTTTATTTTTCTTTGCTTCTATTACTATTTGGTTATGAAAATTCAAGTATAAAATAATTTTATTTATTACTCTTCGAAATAGAGTGAATTTTAACCATATATCAGCCATGAAACAAAATAAACAGTTTAGGGAAAGAAATTCGAGTTTAGCAAAATGAAAGCTTTCTTGATGGAAAAACGCTCTACTTACTACGGGGATTAAGATTTTTCTGGAATTTTAACAATTATTCAGTGTTTCTCCAACAATTGTCACAACTATCAATTCTCTTTTCTTCACATGAATATATTCGTTACTTGTATAGATATTTTATTTTATTTCATCTCTTATAACTAGCTAGTTTCGTATGTTTATGCTTACAGAGAAAGTTGATCATGGTGGGGTCTCGGAGAACACTCTTAAAGGTTCCACTATTGAAACTTCTCATTAAGAAAGTTGAGGAACAGTCTGGAATATTAAGTGTGACTAAGAAGGATATCTGTCGTAAAGGGGAGCTCAAGAGATGTACACAAATTAGATAAATTCAGGTGCCCATATTTTGATGGGTTGTGTAATTGTTATTTTATCATCATAGAAATGGTATGTACGAGTGTTTTTTGATTGATTTAGAAATGTAAATCTATACTACATAAATGGAAATTCTCACCTTTTGTGTTTAATGTTTGCTTGTCCAAAATTAATTTTATTTGTTAGTTAGGGTTTACCTTTTCCACTCACCCAAGCGGTGGCTCCGCTGCAATTGCATCTTCTGGATGATTAAATCTCAAATTCAAATGTAGATGAATGCATGAAGTGTTACACAATTCACCATATAAAATATTCATGTATTTAATCAATTTATTTAACGAGATCATTTCATTTCAATTATTTCAAACGGATTTCATTTCTAATCTCATGGCTGCATCTTGATCCCCACAGATTATATATCAATCTCAAGTTAAAGAAATGCAGTCCGCAAAATGAGTACTTTATGTCAAGACAACAAAAGGATTTCATACCAATTTTTGAGAAAATGCACCATTATTTCAAAAGATATTCTCCCAAAGGGTTAAATGGATCACTCTATTTCAGGGGTAAAGTAAGAGAAAGAGTGAGACCTTTTCTTGGTTCGACGAGGAGAAAAAATAAAATACTTATTTTTGAAATGGTATTTTTATTCTTTTATTTTTTTATTTATATATTAAAAGAATTACAAAAATTAACAAAAGTTTATTTTAATTTCTTTTCTATATTTTTAAATTTTCTTTCTAATAGTAGAGAAAAAAAAATAGAAATGGAATTTTAAAAAGAATGAAAAATTAAAAGTAGAAAATAAATTGAATTGACTCAAATTCTATAACTACTCTTGTGATCTTTTATGACTTTCATTCCACCCATTTTATTTTAAGTTCAATTTATGATTATAAACCTTCCAATTTCTTAATTTGTATTGATCTCTTTAATATATAATTTCTTCTACTTCCTTGCCTTGTTTGGATTCAAGGTTGATATGGTTAAAAATTATGTACAAAACTTAGTTAACACAAAACCTAAATGCATAATCATGAAATTTTCTTCTAAAATGGTGTAAATCAAAACAAAGATGATAGAAATTGTGATAGCAAATGAAAATTGTAACATTCAGACCGATGAGTCTATATTTTGATATGCTTTTATAGCCTATATATTTTTGTATGGTCATTATTTGATTTGATTTTTCTATTAATTTATATATTAATTGGACAACTTAACATTAAAGGACATAAATTAAATTTTTTAGTGTATTTTAGGCCCAAATTGAATGAAAAATAGGTGTAGCCCCTTAATTTCATGCTATTAAATTTTCTCTAGACGACATTTGGGAAGCTTATTTTTGTAAATTTTTCTCTCTTCTTACTTCCTTCTTTTCCTATTAGAGGTTGGCCTCGATATTTTACCCTTAATCACCGTGCCATCAAGTTGAATTAACACTTTGCCTTGACACCTAACCATGCAAAACTCTAAGGGTATTTGATTCTAAATTTTGTTCGCTCTCATGTACTGCACCCCACTAAACCGTACCCCTCTTTGAGGTCTGGTAATAAATCAATTAGGATTGAAAATTTCCATTTGCACTTGCTAAATCTACCTATGCAATACCAATGATTTACTAGCCTTGGAACTCAAACCTCCACATCACATCCTTAAAAAAAATTGTGTCACTCATAATTAGATTTATTGTGACATGACATACCTTGGTATGCAAAATGACCTTCCTCCAAGTGGACCAGGGTAGTAGAGGATTAAATATCTAGATGATAACTTATGACTATTGATGTTGTTCTATTTGATATATCGTTATGTATGTATTTAGGGTTACTACCTGGATCTAATTATTTTCTCTTATGGTGTATTAAATTTGAATAAATGTCAGGAGAAAATTAAGAAGGTATATAACCTATTTAGTACTTTGATATTATGCTAGTAGTACTTTTATTCAATGAGAATTTAGTCTACAACTTTATATTGGTTAAACCTTATATAAAATTTAAAAAATTTTAAACTTAATAATTTACTTAAGATGATTTAAAAAATGAAAATGAAACTATTATTATTATTATTATTATTAATAGGGACATCTCACTTACTTAGCCTATTTTGTTTAACCTTTAGACTTTGTAATATATTAACTTTTTCCAAACATTCTTCATTCTAATTTGTCTTATAAAATAGAAAAAACATAAATGTTATATTTTATAATAAATTTGCTTTAAAACTTATAATAATTAATAACTTAAAAAAATAATACTTACCTAATTTATAATTTTGTAATAATATTTTAAATAAATATTAATAAATTAATTCTAAAAAAATATTAAAATGAAGTAAAATATTAGCTTAAATGTGTCTTTATCTATACCTCTTCGTTCCATACATCATTTTGAGCGTTAGCAAGGCATGTCTTCTAGATTCAGTGAAGATATTCTATGGCTTGAACCCTATACTTGTTCCAAACAAAGTACATGTCAAGTTCTTGCTTCATAACTTTGGATTGAACATGACATACTTCCTCAATTTAATTTATTAAAATATGTTAAAATATTTACTACTACAACTTGCATAACTAAATAGTATAATCGCTTTATAATCATCACTTAAAGAACAATTCTGGGTATAATCGTTCTCTAAAGTGACTTTAGAAAGCATATTCACTTGCAAAGTAGATTTACAACAGCTTTTGATCATTGCTCTTTGAGTTCATCCCACTTTGCACAGTGATACTTGTGAGAGTGGTTCAATCTATTTTCAAGACAAGATAGAAATTCTTTTTAAAGTGTAATGATTGAGTTAATAAAAGTATGATTATCAAGATATATTACATCATGAAAAAGGAAAAAAAAAACATTCAAAGAGGACAAATGATTGTTATATGCTTGTTGGATTCCGTTAAAAGGGTATGCATTTAAAAATTTCCCGACAAATAGTAGTAGATTTAAATTGTTTGAAACGTTTAAATTTATGAGGCAAAAAAACAACCGGAAGAATTTTGTGTCGTGTATGGTACTAGTCTTAACCACATATTAAAGTATGAATGTGAGGCATGCTGGGGTTAGATATTTGATTCTTTCATGGACCACCAAAACTCTTGATCACCACTTGGTCCTATTACGGCTTCTTCATGGAAGTGACCCTTGACATCTGACGTTATGAAAACGTCCTTGACTCTTCTGCAGCTATAGCTAGTGGGAGATGAATACCCCTTTCTTATTTTTATGAATGGCTTTGCTTTTTTATCTAATAAGAATATAAGATTCTCCACAACCTTGTTATCTTTGGTGACAAGGACACTTCTGGTGAGAAAACGTTGGCGGCAGGTACTTCCTTTCGCACTTTTCTTTTGATGGATTAATTAGCAGAAGGAAAACGCAAAGAAAACTCATGTACCAATTTATTACCTAAAATGCTTTGCGACAACCAACTCTACCTGAATTTGGAACCTTTTCTTTCCGTAGCAAGTTTTGCTACGTGATCACTCACTCATCTCTACAAGATAAGAAAGGAATTCTTCTCGTTGGATTCACCAATCATATTTGGCTGTGGATTCTCCTTTTCGTTAACGATGTTCCTAGTTTAATTCTCGCTTCGAGTACTAATTAACGTTATTGTTGTACTTTTAATTTGTTTAGTGGCACAAAAATTTCTCATTCCAAATCAACCTCATTTATCACTCAGGGGATAGGGGATGTAGGGAGAGTTTTGGAAGAACGAGAAATGGGACACAAATTTTGTATTTTAAATAAATATATTTAAAATTAATATTTTTTAAATAAAAAATATAAATTGATAAACATATAAATTTAATGTATTAATATAAATACTATATAATTTTTTAATTTAAAATTAAAAAATATACCTTTTCCTTTCTCTTCCAAAATTTCTCTTCCAAACATACCCTTTATAAATTTATTTATGTTAATTGAAGAGAGTGAAGAATGCATTCTAGACCTACTTATGCTTACAAACTTAATCATATTGATGCAGTTCATGTAATGTTATTCATCAATTTAATTACCTAAATTTCAAAATATAATCCATAAAATGAAAAGGATAAAAAAAATGCACAAGTGTTAAAAATGTATGATAGAGTAATAAAGATATTTTACTACAGTTGTAACACCTGGTGTTAAAAATGTCACATTTTTACATTGGTTATAAATAATTTATTTAGAAAATGCTCTTCTTATTAATGTTCGTCAATGAAGAAGAACACACAAAATAAATAAAGATAAAATTATTGATGTACTTAAATATATTTAAGTGTCAAGTTTGTGTTCATCAATAACATAACGCTAACAGAAACTTGGGAATGAAAGTAAAATTTTCATTCATCATCTCCAAATTATATTATTTCACTTGCGATAGGCCTTTGAATCTTATATTTTAAATTTCTTTTACATCAATTACAAAAAAAAATTAATATATAAATTGATATTTTATACTAGTTTTAAAAACAACTAATGTAAAAGTTATATTTAAATTGCTTTTTACATTAGTTATTAAAACAACTAATGTAAAAAGTATTTTTTACATCAGTTATTTAGCAACCGGTCAAAATTATTTTACAATTTCTTGCCTTTATAATTGTAAATTTTGAAGGGAGATAACTTTTATCACAAAACTCTTATTTATACAAATTATGTGTTTATTTTATATAACTTTTTGAGATTTATTCAAGCAAATACTAGGAAAGAGTTTGGCCAAAATTTCAAAATTTTGTTCATTTTTATAATTTTTTTTTGTATTTCTTAGTATTTTTTATTTTTATGCTTTATAATTTTTTTATAAAAACAAGTATATTAAGATAATTTATATTGGTGCTAGTCCATATTAATATAAATTTAATTTATATATTTTTTATTTTTAAAAAATTAACCTATCTAGAAAGTCATAGATTCATATCAATTTAATTTAAACAAATGCAAAAAGTACTTTTTAGTTTAGTTATTTTGATAATCAGTATTAAAAAATTCTTATTATTTTAAAAAATGCTACCATATTTTTTTAATAGATCAATTAATTATCAACCGACACAAGCTTAGTTAATATTTTATATTGGTTGAGTAGAATCATTATATTATTTATAGATTTAAATAATTATATTTTTAAGCAAAAATTTAAAAGTGAGTCAATTCTAATGTTTTAATAATACAAATTGTTAATGAATCAATATATTATTAT